TATTTTTTTTAATATTTATTTTTAGAATTTTCGGGGATTAAATCTCTTGTTTGGATGACTTTTTCTATACGTGATAAGTACAGAAAAATCTGCTGATTCTACGCAAAATAGCTAAGAGTTACGGCATAGTAATTTGAAAGAATGTAACTGTAGAAAAGGAAAGCCTTAATCTTTGTTTTTGTTGGAAATTACCTCCTATTACTAGCCACTTTCTAATTAGAGGCTCACTTCTAGGTTACATGTAATTAGGTCTTAACTTTTCTCAGTCGAACTTTCTATCAGCTAACGAACTTTTCCTAGTCTCAACACTCGCGGGACTCTCTCTCTCTCTCTTCTTCTCTTCTTAACTGGGCAACAACCGCAAGAAACTCTCCCTCTCCTATAATACCTCTAAAAAAAATATAATTTTTTAGAAGACATCTCGTTATAAAACTTCTTAATATATATAAAAAAATTCATTAATTCCTTTCAAATAAAGATTATTAATACGGGTGGAATGAAAATGTTCTAATTAAAAAAACATGAATTTCTCTTAAGATTAAATTTATCTTACAGAACAAATGTACTTTTCTACCCTCTCTTAATCCCTTTTCAGCCTTTCAATCTTTATTTAACAATATTAGACGTTTATAAAAATATGATCATTAAACTTAAACTTGGAAAAGATCATCTCCTCCTCCTCCTCCTCTTCCTCTTCTTCTTCTTCTTCCTTTTTTTCACACTTTAAAGATTATTAATGAAATATAATTAATTAAATTTAACAATAATTTATTAAAGGATAATTTTCTAAATTGTTTTAATTTATTTTTCGTATTATTTATTTAAAAAAACCATAATAAATCCGATTTTATTTGGGTTTTGATCTTCTCTTCGATTCCAATTTTTATACCAAAGAGTCATATTTTATTGAATATTTTTAATAGATAATATGATTAAAATGTAACTGTTTTTCCTGTTTTTCTGTAACTGTTTTCTAAACTAACGACCTACGAAATTAATAACCATCAACCGAAGCGAGAGCATCATTTCTTTTTGCTAGTAACTTAAGAATTTCTATGCACATCCGTTGTTATAAATGTGTTTTAAGTCCTATAACAGCCACTAACTCAATCTTCGGTCGTCGTGTTTGCCATTAACGTTATTACCTCACTCCTTACCGTTAAAGTAAGAGCGAAAGGCAGAAACTTTGCCTTTTTTTTATATCTTACAACTGCCTTTTGATTATTCTTTACGAGGAATTATTGATTAATTATTCATTCTATCGTCCTCTACAGTTTGCCTTCCCCCATCTATTCAAAACTTCTTTTCTGAATTAGGTTGAACTAAAATCATTTCCAGAGAAAATAAGCTATTAAATATCATTGTTGATTAACGAAGCGTGAAATTACAAATGGAAAACGACTTCCAATAGAGAGAGAGGGAGAGATTAGTATACATCATAAGAAAGACAATGGTTTCTTCACTCGAAAACTCGATGTAGATTAAAGAAATTGATAAAAAAATCGTAGAATTTGAGTTAATTTAACAAAAAAGAAACGGGACATTGTAAAATATCATATAAAAATAGGTTGCAATTAAGAGTAAATCGGTAGCATCCGAGAGTCAATAAGTTGAATTGCGCGCTGCATGACGGGATTTAAGATCGATATTTTCCCGCACTAGAAACCTGAAATTGCTAGGTCACGCCCCAAATGTTTTTAGGATTCTCCCGAGACCCACGCCCCTCCCTATTAAAGAATGAAGCATCACATCTTCCTCTCGTTCCGTCCCATCGAGGATAACCGTCCAGCAATGATTGCACACAAGAATCCACATTCTAGTAACTAGATGCCATATAAAGACTTAATCACTTCTAGTTTCTAACTCTTGTATATAGTTATACTGTACTTATATAGATTTAGTGTTATTTAAAGCGTAGTATACAATTAAAATCCGCCATTGCCGTATTGCCTATAAAGTAATAGCAATCGATTGATGTGTGAGGCGGCGGTGTATAGTCAGCAGTCGGCGGTCACACAAAAGCCTCCGAGTTATTTTTATCCACCAGAAATCCACCGTTTCGTGTGTTTTGTTTTCTTGTTTGGCTGCGAGCCAAAAACTCCGTAGCTCCTTCATTGACCCAATGATAACCCAACCTTTCTTCTTCCAATCTTCCAGACGTCTCCTTCGTCTCCGGTTCTACAAGAATCGCGCAGTTGTTAGACGAAAGACAATTGAATTAAGCGTACGAATTTCGACTTTTTTTTTCACTAAGCCACACCTTAATTTATCTTATTTTTTTACTAATTTAATTACGTCGAAACGGAATTATGACGTATTTATCCTTACAATTCGCACCGCATCGTTTCATCCATTCTTCTCACGTAACTATCGTTAAGGCAGTCGCTTGATTCAATTGTCATCCTTATTACTCGTTCGTATTCGTTGCTGATTCTTCACAAGGCAATAGTAAAGAGGAGCAAAGAAGAGCAAAGAGCCAATAGTAAAGGGGAGCAAAGGGGCAACAGTAAAGGAAGCAAAGGAGAATAAAGGAACAATAGTAAAGGGAAGAAAAAAAAATGACATTTCCTATACTTCGGACGGATTTTTTTACCATTGCCTTCAAAGCTCGGACAACGAATATAAGTCAAATTTCGAGAGGCGTTTTAATAATTCATAATCGACCGACAAAAAAACCATTTAAATCTCTTTAAAGAAAGAGGTAGACTTAAAATTGAAAATGGTGTTAGAATTTCAAATCGAAATTGTCTTTAAGAAATAAGAGGAGGAGAGCAAAGCGCGAGTATATCTAACTTTGCAAATTGCGACTTGATGAAATCCAAGTAGGAGCATCTAATATCTCGACACTAGTTGATGTAATCACCTTGCACCATTCCGATAACGAGAAAAGGGGGGATGCTTTTGTTACATAAAGCGTTAATTGAGCAAGCTGAATTTAAATTTACACTTTAATCCGTTTGCAGAAGCGAAGTTGTTGATCCTCGTTTTCCATGTAATTACTAGAAATGCTGAGCAACAAATATCTTTCGAGTGAATTAAATCAGTTTATTCTGACTTTTATCGAATATTTTTTTTGTTTGTCTGTTTTCACTCCAAAATTCATAAAAATACATTAATTTTTTTCCCTTTCTCCTCGACGTTTTAAAATGTAATTTTTCTCAAAAGTTCTCTTTCGTATGCATTTATGATTTTTAAAATTAGTTAAATAATCGCGTAGTTAATGCTAATTATAACAGATCTTAATTATAATAGTGGAAATGGTGTTAAAATAATGAGTTCCTTTCATGTTTAACGAGCTAAGTCTTGCAATGAAAACAATTATTCACATCATAATGTCGACTTGTAAAGATGAGGAAGAGCAGAGAGAGAGAGAATAAGAGACGGATCTTTACGAAAAAAAAAACAACCGATTTTTCTTAAAATATATTGTAAACGATAAAATTTTAGCTAATTAGTTAATTGAAATTCATTTATTTAAAGTACTTTTGTTAATTTTTATTACTTTTAGATAAGATACTTTCTAGTTATCCTTATTATAATACAAGATAAGACATACCATTCCAGATCTTGATATTGCTTTGCAAGGATAAAATCGCAGGAATTAATTTACAATTAAATGATAATATTATCCCTTTCTTTACTCGTATATAAATTTGATTTTCCTATTTTTCTAACGATGAAGATACTTAGTTAAATCATCTTCCATTTGATAGCTAACTTTCAAGTCTCGTATAGCCTTATTTTATATGGAAATTTATATAAAAATGGTTAAAATAGTTGAAAAGATTTATTTATATATATTTTAATTAAAGTAATTTAAATAATTAGACGTTTATAGCAAAAAAAAAAACTGGAGAATTTGTATGTAACTGTAAATTTGATTTAGCTATCAAACTGAATAGAAATACACAAAGAACAGCTATTAATAGCTTAGGAATAAACAAAGACACACAAATTTAATAATTTTACACGCCTTATAATATATTTCATTTAAAAAATTATAATGTTATGATACAGATCATTATACAAATCTTTGCTTCCCATAACAGTTCATCCTCAGCATCACTAGTGATGCTGAGGATGAACGATGAGAATTTAAAGTTTGTTACATTTAAAATATTTTTAAAAATTATTTAAACATTTATATAATAAAATAAATTTAAAAAAAAATGACGTTTTAGATCGAAGAAAGTATTTAATTTTCTTATAAATACTCTTATAATAATGATTGGACAAAGATGCTGAAACTCTTTATTGATTTATTCATTATATATTGTTTATTTTCCAAAATATTGGGCATAACTCCGTGATTAATAACCTATCTTTAACATCTGGTCGAGATGTGATGAACTTCGATCATTTTTTTTTTAATCCATTAAATATAATTTGATTTTTAAATTTAGGCACGATTAAACTGCATAATATTTTATTAAGTACGTATTTTTATGTTGTACACTCTGTTAATTTTTTATTTATTATTTCTTCTTTCTTTTGTTTACTTTTTTTTTATAGAAAAATTACAAAAAAAGAGAATAATTTTTAACTAAAAATTGTGTAAAAATTGCAAAATGAAGTTGTTGTTGTATGGAATAAATTTTTCTGTGTTTATTTTTAGGACATTTCAATTGTGTTTTTAGGTAATTTGTATAGTGTTTATTAACATAAATTTAAAGAAATTTATTGTATTTTCTGTGTCGAGTACAGAATACAAAAATGCTTTGTGTTAAACACAAAAATTTATATGCGTTTAATAGAAGAGAATTTTGTGTCGTGTTCTAAGAAAATATAACAATTCATTTCGTGTTTTGATATAAATATAAAGTGTCTAATTTGTTTTACGTCTTAGAAATTTCTGTGTTTATTTATCAAAACATAGATAACAATGCTCTTAGCTCTATCTTTGTTTGTTTATAACTTATATATATATATATATTATGTTTTTCTCAAAGGAAAAAAAAAATATTTGTGATTTAATTCTTGCTTACGTGTTCGTTCTCTAGGGTATACACAGGAAGATTCAGAACACGTCACTGCCATCTTAGGAGAAGACGTCATTCTTCGTTGTGCCTTCGAATTCCCAGAGGGCATTCCAGTGCCCTACGTTATCCAATGGCAGAAAAATGGCATCAAAATTCCCATCTACATCTGGTACGATGGTTATCCACCCCACGCCGGAGAGGGTTATGAAGGCAGAGTGTCTCTTACCAACCAGGCATCTCTCAATCTGACTAATGTTAAGGAACAAGATCAGGGATGGTATGAATGTAGGGTGTACTTCTTGAACAGACCTCCGGAATCTCCAAAGAATGGTACTTGGGTATACCTAGACGTTCATGGTGAGTACCTTTTCCCTATTCTTTACGGGGAGGTTTCTTTTCTATTCTCTTATTCATCTTTACTATCGTAGGGTGCATGTTTTTTTTTTTAACGACATAACTAGAAAGATCCATTATAAATGACTTAATTTTATCAATTCTGGCTTGTTTATTCGCTCTTATAAGACGTATATCACTCAAAATTATTATTAATTTTCGTTAAATTATAATTTAATTAATCGAATTAATTGTTTACGGTTATTTTTAATATGTTACTAGCATATATTCCTGTAAAAACATGGAATTTTTCTAATTATTTATGAATAGAAAACAAACACACGTATATAAACTTAATTAAAATATTTACAAGAAAAAAAAATACAAATTTATTTACGATTTGTGGAGGAAATCTTATAATAATTTTCATTATAAGTAAAGCAATTAGTTAGTATTAAAATGGAAAAATATTGGAAGAGGAGCGAGAGCAAATTGTGTCATATAAATGGATGGATATCAATCAGTTGTATAGGAAAATGAGCAGAGATTATCGATCGATAACAAAGATGGAAGTATTGCATATATCCACAAAAGGCGTCGTGGCGTAATGATGCTCAATCAAGCATCTCTAACGAGATAGCTATGATTATCATAAAACTATTCCATCCTCTTCCTAACGCATAGTTTCCATTCACACACATACACATCTACTAAATAGCAATTCACTGGCTAATTTAAGCCGATTTAATTTACTATTTTTCTTTCGTGCCATTTTAAACATGGCAGAGACGTCACACGGAAATTAAAATAATCCATCATCTTTTACATCAAAGATATATTAATTTTTATGTTTAAAAATTAAAATATATATAAGTGGATAAAATGACTTGAAAATTCTTAGTAGTTGCTGGTTCGTTTTATGGATGGTCGACGTTGTTTGCTGCGGACGAGAAGGGAGGAGAGAAGACAATTTTGCAGTCACAATGTGTCAAATAACTTTTACGGGACCTTAACAGAGTAGATTTTCATTTGACAAGTTTAATCTCTGCACGGAATTGAAGAGATGGATTTTCTCTATCCTTTAACTTTATTCTAGACAATGATAACATCGTGTTAAATCCTGTTCTGTCTATTGAAAGATCTTTAAAGTTTACGATTGGTTTTACAATTATTAACTATTGTTGATATTCATAAAAGGATTATCTTCTTTTATAAACAAACGTCGAGAGGATCAATAACACGTTCTTCGCTCCATTCCTTTTACTTTCTAACCATTATTATAACACTTATCAAAACATTTCCATCTCCTCTTCGTTCTTTTAGTAATTATCTTTAATTAAATTAAATCGTTGAAGCTTCTACTTTAATCCCATTATCTTAACTTTGCGTAAAAAATTTTCTTCTATATCTGTCTTAAAGCCTTTCTCTATTCAATGCTATGATAATTGTTTATTTGTCTTTTATAAATGGATTAATTCGTCTCCGTCTTCTTCTCTCACTTTTATACATAAATGCCTAATTAGTTAATTAATTTTTTCAAATGTTTTTAATATTTTACGTGTTGATAAAGTTAAAATTTTCCACGAAATTTATCTAGTTTCGGGTTGATGGTGTGCAAATCGCTTCAGCTTCATCCCAAACCTCTATCGGAGCATACTGATGGAGTTTATCATTTCTTACATAAACACACACATCTTAGGCTCCAGAATTAGTTATTTTCCAAGATTTGATGTCCTTTATCTGTATTATGCTTATCTTTTCTTGTATACATGTTATTCTATATAAAGTTTTTCGTCTTATAGACATTTTCTTCGTAAAGAATCGAAGAAAACAGTCTAATTCGACGTCTCACCGCAAAGAATTTAGAGTTACATAACTCTAAATTCTTTAAGCGAGAGCATTAATACAAGAAGCAGTGACACATGCTTATCGCATTATCCATTAATTAGAAATTTAAGAAAAAAAATGCATACATTCTTCTGCTTACAAGCTCCTTTTGTTATTTAATCAAGCATGGTCTTGGAAGGATGTTGCAGAACCTTTACCATTCATTCGCTGTCGACGAACACCCCTCATAAAAAAAGAAAGATCTTTTGATAGTCACTCCGTTTGATTGATCGCAATGACTAAGTAATGCGCTATTAATAAGTTTCGAGAGAAACGGATAATAATTATTGCTATTAAATTCCACACGAAATTACCACATCTCCATGATGCGATGCTACAGAAGAAAGGAGAGCATCTTTCCTAATTTAAGTAAAAATTCTTACTTTAGTCAGACTCCGAGTTAGTTTCTTAATGTATGTTATCAGTATGGATAAGTGATGATGTACAGAAGATATTAACGTGATGAGGAAGGATGGAGTCGTCACAGTTAGCTTCAAACTAATGGAAACTTGCACTTAATGTTAATTCGTATGTATCTGATGGGAAAGAAATGATATAAACATTGGTATAACCTTCGATAGTACACGCCCAGTTGGTGAAGAATCGTGTCTACACGTTTTCTAGGATTCGTATCGACGTGATTAAGTTCAAATGGATCGTTAGATTATCTCCATTTTCCAATTTCTGTATTATATATAATTTTTATAATTGATTGCCTCTTGCAATTTTGCACTTTCTAGATTATATATTAAGTAAAAATGAAAGGTATTTTACCATAAAGAAGTTTCATTACAGTTCTTTCTTTAGTTCAATCCTTCTCTAAAGTGATGCGGAGTAAAATTAATGCTGATATAATTCTCCAGATTTTTCATTGATTAAAAATTCCTCTTGTTCGTTCGACTGTTGGATCCGACATCAGTTTTTTTTTCTTCTAAATTAAATAATATAACTAGTTTTTTTTTTTTTTAAATAATATTTTAAACACGAGTTATAATCGATGGATAGAAACTTGAATTATCAATTAGTTATCTTGTTTCGGAAATTGTTTATATATGAGTATTTAAGATGCTAGGAATGTAATATATTAAAATTTTGATTTAATAAAATTTTTATGCCATTATTTTAACAATTTTCTTCGACACATAACAATTTATTCCTTTACAAGAGCATTACATTCACGTTTCCTCTTCCACATTCTTCATTTTTACTTTCCTATCCATCATTTTATTTCCACATAGAACAATTTTCTTCGAAGTATTTTATATCATTTCCATATATAATAATTTATTTCTACATAACCATTTTACATCTACAAGCATAGAATAGTTTACAGCTCGGCTCACGTTTCCATATAGAAAATTTTACCTTCAGGACGAAATATTTCAATTTATCTCCTCAATCGAGCAGTTTATCTTTTATGTGCTTCATTCTCTTTTCACATATAACAATTTTCTTTTACATATTTCATGTTGTTTCCTTATATAATAACACATACTTCCCTACTCCATACTCTACTTTCTAAGAGAATAGTTTAACTCTCAGTGCTTTTATACGGAACATTTCGCTTTATTTCTTCTTAGGCTACTTTATTTTCGCGATAGAATTTGATAGAACGTATATATCTTCCTTCTATATACTTCTAGATGCGGTATAAGCAGCCATGTATCAAAAAATACAGTCAAAATTCGTAAAAAAAAAACAAATATAATGCCTTAATTACTAATTAATAAAATAGGATAAAGCCTACTTCTACACCTTTTCTGTAATCTTACTTGAAAATACACATTTCTAGTATTATTTAAAATATAATAATTATTTTTTCTGTCCACAGAAATAACAAATAAACGCATTCCTTGTAAAATTCTCTGATGCTCGCTAGAGACTAGACGAAAATATCGCTTTTTTTTGCTTACTTTCCTCTTTATATATATATATATATATAGGGCCTATATATATATTCGGTTGCTTATATTTGGTCGAAACAGAAAAGTCATGCAGAAAGGAGAATATAGGAAAAGTAAAGAAAAATCTAGATTTCTGTTCGCGTATGGGATTTCTGAGCTATCCTCCATGACAGGAGCATGTATAATGTTACATCTACAAGTCTGTCAGCCTTGCATTTCTATCTGCTCCATTTTTATCTTTATATTTTCCTTTTTTTTCTCCTAGATAAGACTTCTGTGAATAGAAATAACTTGCAATATTTTTCATTTGATATACTGATTTTTTTTTTAAGTTAAAGTATAGAGGAAATTATTTTTGGCATAAGTTCAATTTAGAGAATTTTATTTGTGTTAAAACAAGAAAAAAAAATGATACACTTTTTTTCCCCCTTATTCTAAAAGTACATTCCATTCGCTAAAGTGTAGCTTAAGGTTTTACATTTATGTTGTTGTTTTTTTTCCGATTTAAAATTAAATTTTTATTCTAAAAAAAATAAATGTAGAAGTGTTTACGTTTTTATGGTGTTTTATGTATAGTTACGATGACGAGTAAGAACCGACAGACAAACGGACTCGTTTTGTAACGTAAAATCATAAAAATCTTACGTCATAAAGCAGAGTCGCTATGGTAACTGGCAAAACAATAAAAGTGGACAGTGACCGAAGGTCCTCTTGATGAGAGATGACAACAGGAAGAGGACCGTGACATGTTACCATGGAAACTAGCGCAGCAAATAACATATTAGAAGAGGAAAGAGATGAACGTGGCATATTTAAGATAATGATGAAGTTCGCTTAATTGTACTCTAACTCGTTATAATTTTCATTAATGGTTATTAATAACACAAATAATATTTTATTTTATTTATTTATTTTTTTAAAAAAAGAAGAGCTTTAAAATTTAAACCGTAATTTATTTTGTAATAAAATTTTAATTAATATGATTTAATAAAATGCTTTTTTCCCAAGTCTTTGTTAGCCCCTGTAAATGTTACTTTTCCGTTTAGCATCAGAGCGAACTCGTTGCGAATCGATAATCCCAGGCGATCAAATTTCCAATTGTTGTGCAAAATGCAAATGTATTTAACAGATTTTTCTAGAACGACGACGAATATCGATCGATTTTTTTTTAATTCGCATCGCTCAAATTCTAACTACGAAATGATACAGCTCAATTTTTAGATAGGATCAAAC